CTGTTGCTAAGTGCACTGAGTGGTTGCTAGGGTGATGCTGTGCTGGTGATAAGGTGCTCTGGGTGGTTGCTAGGGTGATGCTGTGCTGTTGCTAAGGTGCTCTGGGTGGTTCCTAGGGTGATTCTGTGCTGTTGCTAAGTGCACTGAGTGGTTGCTAGGGTGATGCTGTGCTGTTGCTAAGTGCACTGAGTGGTTGCTAGGGTGATGCTGTGCTGGTGTTAAGGTGCTCTCGGTGGTTGCTAGGGTGATGCTGTGCTGTTGCTAAGGTGCTCTGGGTGGTTGCTAGGGTGATACTGTGCTGTGTTCTTCCAGTCTCCGTGATCCTCTGGATTAGATATGGCTCTGGTCTCTCACAAACTTGGCATTATATGCAGTATAATTCTTTATTATTTAAAATCAGATTACAACCATTAAATTCAAAATCTCAGCATGTTCCTGAAATGTCACCAATGCCCTACTAAGGTTACTTATTTCTATAAGCAGCGCAGCTCAGTATATTAACCCTTAATTGCAGGTTGAGATCATAAGTTTAGACACACCTTGAATAATCTAAATGTTAATAATTTGATTTAATTTAATAGTTGCTACCCCCCATAGAACAGATGTTCAAACAAAATAATAGCACACACACATACACACACACACACACACACACACACACACAAGTGCATCTTTGTAATAGTTGAGTTGTCAATGTGAACAACAGTAAGTCAGGAAGAGTTCAAATATGAATATAGGTTGTTTCGGGATTGTAAATTCAAGTACAAATACAAAGTGCAGTGCAACCTCAGAGTGTAAAAGTGGAAATGTGTGAGTAATCTGTGTCTGTCATACATATTTCATATGCTCTCGGTGTTGATGAGGTTATGAATGTGATTGGTTGCCTCGGGAGCAGCACATGTTTTCGTCCTCATTTGCATCGCGTTTGCACATTTTATTACCATATTCTCGATCACGTCTGCTGTCATTGATTTGCACTGTGTTCTTTATGTATCTCGTGTTGTAAGAATGGAAGAGAAGCTGTTTCTCCACTTCAGCAGCACTTACACACCATTCCTGTCTATATTCTGAAGGCTTTTACAGAGATTTCATTCACACTGATTTATACAGCATTTTACTCCTAAAAACATGGTATTTGTTTTCTGATTTATGGAGTGTTAAAAAGAGAAATCCAAAATCCACTCTGGAAAAACCTTTAACTCTACTATGCCAACAACATCAGACAAGAATTATGAACCTGACTCTATCCAGGGTTATTATAGTTAACTAAAACCATAAAGCATTTTTTTTTAAATAAACGTCAACCTAAAATAAATAAATAAATACATCCATAAAAATTATTTTATTTTAGCTAGTTACCGAAATAACATTTCTCATTTTCATTTATTTTAACTTGATGTACTAAAAAAAACTAAAACTGAAATAAAATTGAATAAAAACTATATATAGACATATTAAATGTAAAAAAAATAAAACTGACAAAAGCACAACAAAATGACTAAAACTTCAACTAAAATTAAAATGAAAAAGGAAGATATATATAATTCAAAATATTACAAACTATAACAGTATTTCAACAGTGGTGGACGAAGTACACGAATCAAGCACTTGAGTAAAAGTACAGATACATATAATACAATATTACTCCAGTAAAAGTAAAAGTACTCCTTTTTCAATTTTACTCGAGTGAAAGTACAAAAGTACTCGATTTTTTAAGTACTTAAATAAAAAAGTACTGATAGATAGATTTATTTAGCAATTTTATATAGGCTACTTAATTTAATTTTATATTAGCACATATTTGTTATAATCCTACTGCTCAAAATACCTGGGATTTTCCCAAAATAACCACTATATGGAGTCGAGATATATTTTGATATGGACTGCGTTGAGGAGAGTGATGTAGTAATGTTCTGTGAAGCGTACACTGCGATGTACCGGAGAGAAACTGATCTGACCATCTGATTCTCACCAGCAAGAAACAAGTGTTTTAAAGCTTGTTGTTTTGCAGAACATCACAGTTATATATGACATGAGAATAAGGCCTGACGTTAGGAAGAACATTTTAAGGAAAATATAATTTTTTTCTTCTCAAAGCTTGTCTGTGGTGTAAAACACCCCTGGCTAAATGCCCCCAGAGGGCATCACTTCCCACTGTGATAATTACTGTAGTTACCATGTTCTTAACATCACATCACATCCTTTCTTTGCCCTCAGATGTAATCGATCTAGGATCTGTGTTATTTTAATGTTTCAGGTACCTAAAACAGAGACACAGATGTTGATGTGTCTGCATTCAAGCATTTCAGTGGGCTTAAACAGATCACTCTTTACAGCAGATTTAGTTCACAAACAACTGACAGCTTTGACCTAAATATGATTTCAAGTTACAATAATTAATCCTAAAATTCGACATTAGTAACTTACTTTTAGCAGCGTCAGACGCGCGCGGTTCTTACTTGTGAATTCAGTTCACTGGAGACTCGCACTAAACGGATCATGTGAATCAGTGAGGTGTCGACTCGAGAACAGCTGCGATCGGTTCATTCTAATTCGTCAATTAATCGTTTGGAGCGATTTGCGAACCGATTTAACCGATTTAATTTCATTGAAAAGAATCAGTTCGTTCATGAGTCAGACCACTATTCATGAACCACTATTAGTGCTATTTAGCACCATTTTTCTTTAGAGTGTATGGTCATGCAGAATAAGGCATTCATATGTGCTTTGTAAGTACTAACAAACAGCCACTATGCTTGTAATATGCATGCTAATAAGCAACTAGTTAATAGCAGTGTTGTGCAAGTTACTTCCAAACTGTAATACATTATAGATTACTTGTTACTGTTATTTAAAAGTAATTCCTTACCTTACAATATTACTGTCTCAGAATTGTAATGCGTTACATGACTCCTGTATTACTTTTGAGTTACTTTCACCAAAATACAAACTACCAAAATAATTACAGAAGTAGAACTTAAGTTAACACTTTGTTTTAGGGTCTCTTAACTAGTTGCTTATTAGCATGCATATTACTAGAATATTAGCCATTTATTAGCAGTAATTAAGCATATATCAATGCTTTATTCTACATGACCTAATTCTACATTCCTAATCCTACCCAATACCTAAAGTTAAAACCTACCTTACTAATTATTAATAAGCAGCAAATTAGGAATTTATTGAGGAGAAATTCGTAGTTAAGTGTTCCCTATTCTAAAGTGTTACCATACTTAACATTCTAAAATCACAAAATGTACTGCAGAGCATTTTACATCCAATAGAGGGCGATATGGCGTATAGCTTCGAGGCACTCCTGTAAAACCCGACCTAAACACTCCTTCACTGGACTACGTCACACAATACAAAGTTTCACCAGCGAGAGGGAGATGAATGAAATAAATCGCTAAACAAATATATCAGAAGCTGTCGTTTAGTTTTTATTTACAAACTTGGACACCACACGCGGCTATTGTCTGACCACGAACAGGATATAGAACTTACTTGCTGCATTTTTTGATTCGTTAATGTCTCGCGGTCTTGCTGTTTGTTTTTTTTTTAACAATTACATTTTGGGCTAAAAGTGTGTTGTAACGCATGCGTTACTGAACATGTACCGAGTAAAATATTACTGAAAATTGATTAGTAATGCGTTACACTACTGCGTTACAGCAAAAAGTAATCCGTTACTGTAATGCATTACTTTTGTAACGCGTTACTCCCAACACTGGTTAATAGTGAGAATTGGACCCTAAACTAAAATGTTACCAACATGTGATACAAAAAAATGTTTGCAGTTATTGTAATGTAATCAATCAGCTAGGGAAGTATGGTGATGGTCATGGATTATTTTTGTTTACAGGTGTTTTTGAACCCCTCCTGATGCGAATATAATATTTGCATACTGAACTGCATTTCGTATTTGCAGTTATTCAACAGTTCTTAGTTGCTTTTGCATTGCACAGTGACACAGACATGAGAAAACACGAGTGAAGAGAATCAGTGTTTAACTGGCAGAGAAATAAAGGCTGCTAACTGGAAATGGAGTCAGGCTTTATGCAGTCACCCTCCTTAATGAAGGCAGGCTTTAAAATGCTGTATTTAATTTGATTTAGCATTTTCATGAGACGAGCCCATCTCTCAATCACATTGAACTGTTTATTGTTACATTAACGCTCCTGCTCACAGTCGGGCTTTTGGACTACAGTTAATAAATGTGAACGATTTCCATAAAATATTCAAAGAAGCCCATTATTGCGACGCCGGCTCATCTCCGCTGGTAAACTTCAATCAGTTTTGCATTTGAAACGCATTAAATGCCTGGGTAAGACACTATCATCTGCACAGCAATATTTTTATAGCCGCTATTGGGGAAAGCGTGAACTTATATGAGGTGCATCAATTCTGCGGTTTAATTATTCAGAGTGTATTGATTTCACACGCAATCTTTGGATTTATTACTCATTAAGTATTTAAAACACTCGTGCAATTGTCTTGTTTACTAGCGAGTACAATGGTATGACTGTAAATCTCGCAAAAATAATTACACAGAAGCGTCGAAAGCTAATGGTCATTTTAACAGCGACTCTAATTAATTCATGAGAGGTTTTAATAAGAGTGTGATGTACACACATGCTCGTTTGACTAAATTTACAATTTTTTAAATGTGAATTTGAGTCTACACTAGTCTATGATCATATCAATCATTGTTTATCTCATCAATAAAACCACAGATTTTTTAAATGTAATTAAATATGAATTTCTTGATTTCATTTTTTTTTAAATCTTTTGATGTCTTTATTAACACAGTTGGAAACACAGAGTGTGAAGCAATGAAAGCCGTTTCTCTGTGTGTCCGTAACTGAAGCATTGAATCAGGATTTGGGTGTGAGATCAGATGGTCTGTGTGAATGTGAATCCAGCGCTGAGCTGTAGTGTGAATCCTGACCCATGGGTGGCGCTGGCGTCTCATGTTTGCTGTGCTGTGTGTGTTTGTGCAGATGACGGAGATGACAGAAGAGCAGAAGTGGAGAAATCTTCACCGGTCCAGCAGGTGAGGAGCGCGAGCCTCATCGTGATCTCTAACACAGGCGGCTGATTTTTGAGTAACTGTAGATTGGGCTTCTGGCTGTCTAGTAAGAGTGTTAAAGTAGTGAGGATGTGTGTCTAAAACAATGCAGTCAAATGTTTGGACAAAGCTACACTGAAAAGTGTAATACACTGAACAAAATTATAAACGCAACACTTTTGTTTTTGCCCCCATTTTTCATGAGCTGAACTCAAAGATCTAAGACTTTTTCTATGTACACAAAAGGCCTATTTCTCTCAAATATTGTTCACAAATCTGTCTAAATCTGTGTTAGTGAGCACTTCTCCTTTGCCGAGATAATCCATCCACCTCACAGGTGTGGCATATCAAGATGCTGATTAGACAGCATGATTATTGCACAGGTGTGCCTTAGGCTGGCCACAATAAAAGGCCACTCTAAAATGTGCAGTTTTACTGTATTGGGGGGTCCGGACCGGGGGTCCGAAAACCAGTCAGTATCTGGTGTGACCACCAGTGCAACACATCTCCTTCGCATAGAGTTGATCAGGTTGTTGATTGTGGCCTGTGGAATGTTGGTCCACTCCTCTTCAATGGCTGTGTGAAGTTGCTGGATATTGGCAGGAACTGGAACACGCTGTCGTATACGCC